AATGACGCGACACGATCGACTTGTCACGCTTTTAACCCCCATTTAATGAAGAACCGGAGAAGAATTGTGTGAACTCGTCGGGTGTTCCATCCTTTCGACCTCCAATAAATTAAGCATCCATAAGCGGGAATGGACAACTGACCGACGAAAAACAATGACACAACTGTGAATGAAAGAAAAACTACATTTCCCCCATCCAAGGGAATTGGTCTAACATTAGTCGATGATAGGTCCTAATAAACACTCAGTAAATATGTTTAGTCTAAATTAGGGGTTTCCAACCTACATGAGGCCGGGGGCCACAATTAATAACACAAATCAAATGGCGGGCCGCAACTTTATCAAAATTTTATGAAGGACTCTTTTATGTTTGAAGGAACATTAAATATTACTGTCAGATTTTTACCAAATTGTACAAAACAAAAGTATTGAATTACAAATTAAAATAAGAAGTAGATTTGTAAAAATATTTAATTGCATATTAAAAAATTCGGGCTACAATAACTTTAATGTGCACCCATGTATTAAACAATTAATGTGCAACAGATATCTAATTATTAAGATATAAAACTTCAAAAAGGTTGGTATTAAAACTTACATAGTAGCACACAAATTGAACTGCAACCACCAGAGAATAGATATTTACATTTTAAATTTACAAATGTGTGTGTAAATATTTTCGTCCAAAATGAGTGGTTTCAAAAAGTTAAATAAGTGAATTTCTTTGAGAAAATTTCTGATACACGCATGCTAAATTATATTCACAAAGTACAAAAAAATGAAATAAAAAAGAGCAACATACACGACTATTTTTGTATTTGAATAAATATTTTCTTGGGTGCAAAACCTGAGAAATAATTTTTTTGCACCGTTGGTATGATAAATTCCACAGAAACGAAGAAATTAGGTTTTTATTAACGAGAAAAGTATTTTAAACCCATACATTTTTTTTACGAAAATTGTCCGCAAAAAAATGACAACTAATATATTTTAGTTCGCGGGTCACAAAAAAAAAGGCTTCGCGGGCCCCGGGGCAAGGTGCGGCCCCCGGGGCTGCCAGTTGGAAACCACTGGTCTAAAATGTTGATCATTAGATTATAACAAGAGATTCGTTTATTCTTCAGAGTTATAAGAACAGGGGTGATTGTGAGCCCAACTCAAAAATCCTGAAATTGTCTCGAGTAAAATCATTAATGACGCATTTCAAAAAAATTAATGTCTTCATCAATTTAAATAATTTATATTTTAAAAACATGAAATTCTAAATTAATTATATGAAGCATAATTTAAATGAATAATTGTGTATAAGTTCACTTTTATCTCTAATCACATTTATTATTCTAAAAAAAAATTATTTACAAAGATTACAAATATTTAAAAATGAAAGTATAAATTCCAGTTCTAATATTTCTAAATAAAATATACAAGAATTTTTTGACATAAATGTGATCAATGATTTCTTGAAACTTCCGGATCGCGGCTAGCGAAAAATCCGGAAATCAGGATTTCTTCCACAGAAAATACCATAGTCGCTAAGCTCGAAGAATTTCAATCCAAGCCCACCCGAGCTGAAATATATAGGATTTTCTTAGAGCCAGAGTCCGATTGAGGAATGCGTCGTGTAATTTTCTGTCCTTAGAATTAGGTTATCTAATCTTTAAAAAATGGAAATTACATAATTGTAGATTAATAATATGTAAAATGCAGGTGATATTAAATTTTAAAAAAAGGGAAAGAAATGTTCTACATTTCCGTTCTAACGTAATTTTACTGACAAGGACAACGATATACTTGAAGGCTCTGCCAAAAGGCGGCCTGCTTCACATCTTTCACAATACATACAATATTACTTATTACGACCAAACTCTCACTGTGTCATTTGATTGCAGAAATTTCACTACGCTTACTATAACAGCATTTGGCTCAAGTCGACCTATCAAGCTACGACGTTAAAAGCCTGCTATATTAACCAACGGAAACTTTAAAATAACTAAAATAAAAAGTTCACAAAAATCAAAATCTTAAGCTAAACATCTTAGGCTTAAGCCTCACAAAACAAATGCGTCGAACACAATGATGTATATAATGGCACAATTTCTTAGAATTTTGTGACTTTTATAATTATTTTTATTGCTAATATTTACTAATAACTTTTTATATAACTGTAGTAAATAAAACAAAAAATATTAAAAAATATTTTTAAAAAAATTTCTTTACACATTAGTTACTCTTTCACAATGTAGTCATTTTGACTGCTTTTGGACAGTATAGGTATGCACTAAGTTTTAGTCTTTCTAGTGTTAACTTAAAATGATCCCATACAATTTTGTTGCAGGTGACACGTAATATCTTACGTCGGTCTTGATTTATAGTGCATTGAAACTTATATTTCTTTATAAATCAGTCTCTATTTCACGTAACGACACTAAAATTCTAAATAAACGATTTTTAACTAATTATTTTTCTAAAGTGTCCACTTTTTCATTAGTAAAACTTTATATTTTCTATAAAAACAAAAGTTCTACAGTTATAAGAATTAATGAAGTTTCATAAACTTTTATAAGTACAAAAACAGTTTATAAGTATAATGAAAATGAAACATATAAAACTATTATTGTACAATTTAGAACCCAAACAAAACAAAAAAAGACTAAAAATTCTTTTTTTTTTCTTTTTTTTTCTGGATAGTTCATTTGTTTTGACAAGCTGTAAAAAAAAAAAAAATAATAAACTTGCAAGTTTTAAATAGTTTGCATTATATTCATTCGATACGTAACTTTGAAAAAAAAAGTAACCATACGTATAAAATTGATTTTGAGTTTTTTGAAAGTTGTTTACCCCCCAGAGATTTTTCTTTTTGGTTTAAAAAACAAATTTAAAGTAAGAAAGACTCCCCTCACCAACTCATCATTGCCCCCCCTCCCCTCCTTTAAATGTCGATTTTTTTTTTTTAATGATCATTTTGATAATCATAATAACTTTATCAAATATACAATTGTTATAATTTAATACGAAATTTTTTTTTAATATGTACGTTAATTGTAACAAAATGAACGATTACCTGGATTTGAAAAAAATATATATGTATAATTAAAAAGATTATTTTAACCTAAGAATACAGAATGTGAAACACGATAAAAATAAAAAAAACAAGGAATAGGAAATAATTTTTCTTGTTAAGAATCTATAACGATAGCCTTATATTATATGACAGTCCAAAATGGGAACGGTTTCTGGTCTATCGAGACTTTCGACATAAATGTTAAAATTTATATATGGCAACATCTAATCTTTCACTCTCTTACTTTTTTTTAAATTGTTTATTTTTCTTGTCATTTTGATATCAAGCCAAGAGAGAGCTTATAAAACGAAGGTCTCGGGAGAGATTTATTTTTCAATAACAATGGAGAAATAACTATTAATTGAAACCAAAAAAAAGTTAGGAAAAAAATCGCAAAAAAAAAAATTTTAAAATTTTGATGACTTCGAAAAAATTCGATTTAAAAAAAAAATTTAAAAACTTTACATTAATTTACATAAGCTTCAACACGTTAGTTTTAGCACAAAGAGTTTGACAGCTAATAATTTTCGTACAAATTATCGTATGCTATTCCCCCCCCCCCATCGTATTCTGTTCTTTTCTTGATACACCTTTGTGATAACAGCGAAACCGAATGTAAAGTTAGCCCCTTAAAATAGCGGCGGCGATTTTAATTTTTTGATGCAGACAGAAAAAAAAATAGTCGAAAATCACCTTTTGAAATACTTAAACACATAACAGGTTTTAAATTCATAAATACTAGACATAATTAAAATAGCAATTAATATACCTTTATCTTGTAAACTGGCATTGATTAGTTATTTTATAAATCTTAGCCATAAAAAGATGCTACACTATCATGCTACATATATTTTTAACTAAAAAAAAGCATAATTTATGTATAAAATTATAGATGCAATTATTATAAAAGTAATTTTAAAAATACATTGCCACATGCATTCTTAAGCTTAATTGCTACTGATTAAAATCCCTTTTGTCATCTGAGTTTTACGTTTGAAATGCAAACAAAAAGGGATTTCACTGCTTTGTCTAAAAGTTAAGCGGCAGCGAAAATCAATTCTAGGTGATTTCCCCCATAAAATGCGTTAATAAAGAAGATTATTATTTTAAGAAGAATTGTTCTTGGTTCCTCTAAAAAAAATCACAAAATTGAGAAATTCGCAAAATGGAAGTTCGTTAAAGGGAAGTCTGACTGTATATAAATTACACGTTATATTCGATTATTAAGTACACACCCTGGCCATATTATTAAACGCACTTTACGATTCTATGTAAAATCTTAATTATTAGGTACTATACTATACAGCTTTATTTTTTTTTTTACGCGACTAAACCGGTTTGCACTTGTTTACGTTCGTGTATTAATTGATTAAATGAGACGATATATAATCTAAATTCGACGATTGAATAAATTAAACGGTATATTATACAAAAATAAAATATTCTTTATATCAAGCATCATGTTAGAATATTATAATAATTAGATTAAATTATTAGACGAAACTGTAGTTTTATAATAATCACGTGATTTGCACGAGTTTACATTCAAACACAGATGTAATGGGTTGAGGGATTTTTTACATACTTCCATTTGGTATTTATTTTTAATGAATTACATTATAATGTTTAACCACTTGATAGACTAACGTAAACAAGTACAAACCCAGTACAAACAATAAAGTTGTATAGTATCACCAGATAATTAAGATTTGACATAGAATCTTAGATTATGTCTAGGGACTGTAGTACAATTTCTTTCAGTAGGGCAAAATTACAGTGGAACTGTTTCTCCATCAACACTCAACGGTGTTTCCAATCAACTTAGTGTAAATATATCCAGCTGCATTGGAATTCGAAGAAAGAAAAAAAAACCTCCAAAACCGCAAAGAAAGAAGAAGCAGACGATATAAAATGTGAAGGTAAACAAACAATTACTCACGAAACACACATCGGCATCCCGCCATCGCTCAGCATCTTCCAAGAGAGGCAACCAGACGAATGAATGGAAAATCCGGAAGGAATGCCGATACCCGAGGATATTCCCAAAAAGGATGAGGAGGGCAGGATATCGGCACCACTCTTTAAGAAAAACTAATCTAACCTGTTATATAGATACGCAAGACTGACTTGTAATGTGCCGTAAACTGGGGCAAAATGGTGTGTTCGAATATTTCAATCTCATTAGGCCGAACATCGATTTGTCATAAATATGCTGGATATGGGGAAAATAAAGAGACATTTGTGAAGCAGGAAAAAAAACATCTTTAATGGGTGGATAGAAGAAAAAAAATATGGTGTTTAAGTCATAAGGGGAAGAAAATATCTAAGAGAGAAAAAAGAAAGTTTAAGCAGTTATGAAAACATACCTTAAAATTTATTATTCGATGTTTTATAATTTCCCCTGTTCAATCTTCCTTTTGATAAATAGTAAAATTGTTTATAGGGAATCTGTTACATTTTCAATTTTCAAATTCATGACTTTGCATGACTCATTCCAAGAACTTTTCATCACTTAACGAAGTGACTATTTTCTCCGGCAAAAACACAACAATGAATTTAAAAAAAGCATTATAACAACTTTCATTGAAATGATAGGTATAACCAAAGCTCTGCATCTTCATGTTTAAAGATTTTAAATTTTAAAAAACAGAGTAAAGAAAAAGTTGAAGCGATAAAATAGCTGGAAAAAAATACAAAAGCAAATAATTTTTTTCTTCTTTTTTTTCTGCGGAATTATATTCTAAAGATACTTTTCTTGCTCATCCGAAAGGAAAGAAATACTCCTGATTTTTCTNAAAAAAAAAAAAAAAAAAAAAAAAAAAAAAAAAAAAAAAAAAAAAAAAAAAAAAAAAAAAAAAAAAAAAAAAAAAAAAAAAAAAAAAAAAATAGTAATAACAAATATTTTGAAATCACAAATAAATCATAATTCGCTTTAGAAATCATGTTTTTTCTTTTTGAAGAAACACCATAATTTTTATAAAAAAAATTTTTAAAAAAAACAGGATAAAAACATTTTATATTTTAATAAAATATGACTGTGAGTGGGGATTATGATACAAATTTAGATATTCGGAACACCGTGAAATTGGGGGGGTTGGTAAATTTCACAGGTTGCGTAGCCAAATTTTTCAACAAAAAATAAGCACCTTTTAAGCATTTTTCAAGCGCTCAAAAAATATTTTTAAGCACTTTAAAAAAATATAATTAGGTAGGGTTGGAAGGTTTTTGACAATTGACGGTTTTATCTTGTTTTAATCGTATTGTGAAGAAAAAAAATCTTTTAGCATTCTTTTTGACAATTGTCAAAAATCATGAAATTTTGAATCATGTAAAACGAATGACGTTTTTATACGCTACGGACTGACAATACGCCGCAATAGATTGGGGTTGAAATTATTGTGAAAACGATGAATAGAACAATCTGAACTGTATCTTTTTGCATAATTTGAAGCGAAAATCAACATAGCAAAGGAAAAATCTCATTTTGAAAAAGGGAAAATTAAGCACTTTTTAAAAACACACAATGAAAAAAAGCAACTTTAAGGACTTTTAAAAAACGAAAATCAAAAATAAGCACCTTTAAGCACTTTTTAAAAACGCTACGCATCCTGTTTCATTTTAAAAATGAGATTTTTCGGCGATCTAAATCTATGACTTTCCATGATTTTTTTTTTTTTTTAAATAGTTAAAATCATGACAAATTTTGTTCACTACTGAAACTCATGACTTTCCAGGTGCGCAGATACCCTGTATTTAGAACAAAGTTTTCCATATAGATCTCTATTTTAGTTATAAAGAATCAGAACAAAACTTTTTAGAGTTTACCAATTCTAGCTGGAAGATTAAGTCTTAATCATTCTGATCATAAGACATTCTTTCTTCGCTTATTTTACAGCATCCGATTTCGCATATCCACTAAAAAAATTTATGATCTAGTTTACACCCAGTGACTTATTATTGTGGGAAATGTTCCAAAAAGTAATAGAGTTCCAGCAATGACGCGATCGATTTGGAGGAAGGGAGGAGTTCCTATGTATTATTAATTCAATACAGTAATTTATTCATTTCTCAACATTCCTTTGAAAATGAAATAGACCCTGATACAAACACAAGATGGGAAAAAACCCAGCAGAAGTTACAAAAGAAAATATATTTGAAGCATTGTAGTGTCATAGCTGACAGCATGAATAGGGGAAAAAAATCCAGTAGATTTTACGAAATCATATAAATTTCATGATAGCTGTTGCCACAACATACTAATATTTTACATATGGGGAATTTCAGAGATTTTGTTAGTCATCAAAATACAAAAGCTTTATCAATCTACTAACTATAAATGGTCTGAAATATTTTCCGTTCATGATCGACATTAAATGAACTTGAATTTGAAATGTTTTTAATTATGTTAACTCATACATTTTAATAATAATAGACAAGAGATTTACTATTGATAGTTGAAAAATTTTAACTTAATTCAAAAAAAAAATAAATTATTTTGTCGCTATAGCGAACTTATACAGTAGCGCAATGATGCGTCATTTCAATAAGATTTAAATGAATAAAATATTTTTATAAAATTGAAGAAAGATAGTATATGAAATGAATACCAGCTTTGCATTGTCCGAGTTCGTCACGATAAAGGAATTTCAGGAGGGAGGGAAGACTTTAACCCCTTGTGGGAGTTAAGAAAAAGTAAAGGAATGCGTAGATAAGAAACGGAAGTTTAGAATTATTTTTTTTTTTCTAGGAAAAGGGAAAGAAAAAAAGAAAAGGAGCTGTTTTACTCTTTCACTATACGATATTTATGTTCATTTACACAGGCGCTTCAAATTTATTAACAAAAAGTGTAAATGAGTAAAATAATTAATAATAATAAAAAATACAAGGATATCACATTTTTGACATGCGCAAATCACTAAAATTCTGTCTTTTCTCTCTTTTCCTTCCTGATTTTTCTCTTTTTTACCAAGTACGAGGAGCCCCTCTGAAAACATAGATTTTGAAATATTTATTGTTTGACAGTTTTGATTTCATAGAGTTCGTTTAAAAATTCCTTGAAAAGATGGGAGCTCTAAAAACATTTTTCGTCTGTTTAAAACTATAAATTCGACTTGCAGGGGTCTGTCTAGGTTTTTTTTTAAAGGTACCTACTTTGTGAAAATTTAAAAATAATTTGTGAAAATTAAAACATCAACACAACATGTACACAATATCATTTTAATTAATATTTTACCAAATACTCAGCACACTTAGCATATTGAGATAACAGTTTACTGAGATAAAATAACAGATTTTTAATATTAACATACTCAGACAAGTTTTGACGCTGTACTCGGTTAATACTGAGTAGTTGTAAAAATTAAATATTTATAAGTATAAATAAAGACGAAGATTTTTAGTAATATATATTCAAACATAAATTTATAGCATGCAATCATTTACTACTGCTAACTCATAAAAAAAGACAATTGTACCACAAAGTTTTACATATAAGTATTTATATGTAATTGACATATTACATTTGTAGAGATTTGTGTATTCATTTAATGTTTTAAATATAATACAAAAAATTTATATGCATTATGATTTCTTAAGTATCGTCCATTGTTTCTGACGATTTTAATCAGTGTTATGCATCAACAACTCAAGCCTATTTTATATATTTCTCTCAAAAAAGCGTGTAAGTTATAACATAAAAGTGAAAAGGACGATGCAATTAATAAAAATTTCAAGGCCAATGGAAGGTGGAGGACAAAATATAATTGCTTTAATTTTATGACATTTGTTTTCTTTTTACAGGACGTCCAAATAAAGCTTAACTTGCCCTCAAAAAAAGATGAATGTTAAGAACAAAATCCATTACAACCTATTACGGCCCTCACTAATATTGTAAGGTAACATGAAGACACTGAGGACCGATGGTTAATTCCTCTTCCAGCACAAAAAAAAGACACTCATTCATATTGTGGATGTCATTATTTAAATGCGTTGCCACAAGAAAGAAAAAAATCGTCAGCAGCAGCAGTCGTGCGTTTCGACGCATGGTTGAAATTCCGCTATGCACTACAATTAAATGCCTACTACAAAGTGAAGAGGCTTTCGAAATGCAACCTTCGCGAACCAAAAGAAAAGTTCTCTTGTTTTCTTCGAAAGGGGTGGGCGGAATGTCGCGGATTTAAATAGATTTGGAAAAAATATTTCTGTTTCCTTAATTCCAGCCTGAAAGCAAAATCTTCTTTTCAACCTAAAGCGGTTGATGTAAATTAAATAAGATGAAAGGGAAAATGCAAATGAATCAGTTTTCGCAGATTAACTAAGAGAATGGGGAACAAAAAGGATGAGTAAATGCTTTAAAATCTTCAATGATTTTGAGTGTATGCACGTATTAAATAGATGCATTATTCTATTTTTTCAATTTGTGAAGAAAAAAGGGGGAATGAAAACTCCTCAAATCTATCACTCTCCAAACTTTTGTTAAGTTTGCCTTATTGTTAAAGTTCAAATTAATATTAATAAATATATTAAATCATTAAATATAGTAAATTAATAAATATATTAAATCAATAAATATATGATAAATAAATGTATTGAAGTAATAAATATATTAAAAAATAAGGAAAAAGTTAATTTTTAACTTTCACCTAACTTGACAACGACACACATTATTTTTGTACAATTTATTACCTCTTCAAGTTATAATTATACTAATTACTAAAAAAATACTTTTTTTAGAGAAATATTTTATCATTATTGTTAAAATAAATTGAAAAATTAATAAGTAATATTTCTTATTGTTTAAATAAAGTTTAAATTGATATTTAATAAGTAAAATGATAATTTTTAACTTTCTCCCAACTTAACCCAATAACATTCACCCAACTGCACAAATTATTTTTGTACTGTTTATTACCTATACAAGCTTTGATTACTATTTTAAAAAAGAAAGTATTGCTTTTTTTAGAGAAGTATTTTATCACCATTAGCATGGG